AAACCCTCCCAAACCCTCCCAAACCTTCTCCGATGGGCTCGAACCCTCCTCCCAGACCCGAATCTTCCCGAGCCTTTCAAGGAAGCTGTGGGTTCCCTTCACAGAGAAGGACGACCAAGCCACCCCCTGCCGGGTCACCGGGAGCGGGATTTTTGGGGTCAGCGGATTTCTCCCGCTGCTGGGGTTCCAGCACAGCGGTCCGCCAGGGTCACCGACTTTGAAATCTTCCTCTTCGGGGATTCCCTCACCAGGGTCACCGATCTTCCCTGCCTTTCAAAGAAGGTGTGGGTCGTGCTGGGTCCCTGAGAAGGACGACGAAGCCCAGACGCCTTGTGGGGGTCGGGAAGCGGGTTTCAGCTGTGGATTGCTGGGTCCCTTCACAGAGAAGGACGATGAAGCCCAGACGCTTTGCCGGGCAGTCACCGAAATTTCCCTTATGCTGGGCCCCGAAAAGGCACCGGGGAGCGGGCCTTTCCAGGACTGTGCATCGCGGCTCCCTTGACAGAGAAGGACGAAGCCCAGAGGGGGGTCGGGAAGCGGGTTTCAGCTGCGCAGCACGGGTGAGTTGGGGTTGGCGGGTTTCAGCGAGTCACCGAAATTTCCCCTCCTGCAGGGGCCCCGGATTCCTTTGCCAGGGTCACCAACTTCGAAGAGCGGGTTTCGCTCATTGGTGCCGGGGTTGCGGGAAGCAGGTATTTCCCCATTTCGGAATCTTCCCTAGCCTTTCAAAGAAGCTCGCTTCACCGAAATTTCCCCTGCCGGGAGCCCCAGGAGCGGGAGTCCCCCGCTGGGGTCACCGGGAGCGGGATTTCCCCGCCACGCCGGGTCGCCGGGTTGTCCCCCGCCAGAGTTACCGGAGCGGACCCATTTCGGAATCTTCCCTAGCCTTTGAAAGAAGCTGTGGATCGCGGGTCCCTTCACAGAGAAGGACGACGAAGCCCAGACGGGGTGCCGGGGAGTGGGATTCCGACCAAAAATTCCCCCCCGCCCACCGCGTTTACTGCGGAGCGGAATTTTCCCCCGCAAGGCCGCGGGAAGCAGGTTTTTCCCCTGCCGGGGTCAAGTGCAGGGGGTTAAGGGTCACTCCATTTTACGTTGTGCCCCATGGCTGGCAGGGATTCTGAGATCTGTGGACTCGATCTGCTGGCAAGAAGCAGATCTCGAAGCGGTAGCGTTCAGTTGTACCGGCCGCCGCCTGGCGCGGGCGGCCAATGGTTTAGGCTTGGGTTTAGGCTTGGGTTTAGGGTTTAGAGTTTAGGGTTTACAAGGGCTGTGGATTTTGCCGGCAAGGCTCAGGAGATATGACCAGCTTACATCTCAGCAGGGTCCCTTAGGCGAGTCCTTTTACAAACTGTTTGTTGCAGATTGCACTGTTGCTTCAGGAGATCTTCTGTTTGGATTAACATCGCAGTACTAGATAGCTGCACGTCCATTCCTTTCTTTCTGCAGCCGAGCCCTAGACCCAAAAATAACCCCTATAGTTTCCATTTTCCAGTATCCCTAAACCCTAAACCTAGTAGTTTCCATTTCCTTTTCCATTATCCCAATAGGTCCTCAATATATCCCCCATATAACCCCTGAAACCTCAAGCCTAAAGCTCCAAGTATGTGATGCCGTCACTTTCTCACCTTTCTTCTCCCATAGTCTTGAACCCAAAGCATGGAGCTGCCCGTCCATGGCCTGAGCCTTAGACCTCTAGACCTGAAACTTCACAACCCTGAAACCATACCTCCGCTTTAGGTTTAGGGTTTAGGGTTTAGGGTTTAGGGGAAATTGATAATGTCACATAATAGCGGTGAACCTTGAAGTACACCCTAAGCCCACACAGGCCAGCTCTACAAGGGTTTGCCGTCGGTTACCATTGACATTGTCCCTCGACCGAGATCTCGCAGTCTAGGACTTAAGGTCTCGGGGCTTCGGATGGCAGAGATTCAGGGCAATTAAAGGTTGAGGCTGTTGTGGATTTAGGCATTTAAGGGTTTAGGGTGTGGGTTAAAGATGTAGGGTGAACATCACAATCAGCATCCGGTCAGCAATCCTGCGGTGCCTGTATATTTAATCATTTGAGAGCAACAGTCTGTTGGTTCAGGCGAGGGCACCCTTCTTGTTCGAAAATATTTTCCACCCTAATATATCCCATTATAGTAGTTTTCATTAGATTTTCCATTACCCCCTATATAACCCCAATATACAGAGTTTCTGGAGATAACCTTTATCCGGGAGTCACCCATCTGAGCTTCTTCTATTCCTGAAAGTCACCCCCCACGATGCGAAGCCAAGGAGTTTTACGCTCACATCTCCAAAGCTGAACATGATGATCCAAGCCTTAAATCTGAAACCCTTGACTTAAATCTTTAATCTTAGTATCTGAAACCTAAACCGAAAATGCTAAACCCCAAACCTTGAATCCTGAACCCCAAGCCCTAAATCCTAAACCCTGAACCTTCAATCCTAATCTCCAAGCCATGTGTTCTGAGAGAAAGCTTCCCTTGAAGGATGGCGAGCCCATCGTTGTAAAGATTGATTCTGTGTATGGCCCGCAGCCCACAAAGGCACCGCCATTTTTGCTTAGGGTTTAGGGTTTGGGTTTAGGGTAACATGGACCTGTGTGGTCAGGGTAGAGTTTCGGGTTTGGGGTTTCCATAATGAGAGAGGCCAGAAGTTGGATATCACGAGTCTCTTATGGCGGCCAAGGGGCCGACATGGCGATTACTCAACATTTGGCGTAACACAGTGGTCCCCCAGTCATGGGTATGTTTCGTAATTCATATGGGCCCCCCATTACAGTAACTTAAGTTAAGTTGCCAAAATGGGTATATATATATGTGTGTGTAAACTAATATATGTCCCCCAGTATAGTAATTTAACTTAAGTTCCCTGACATCAGCCCAGGTATCTACACTCAATTCCCCGAACATTGGCTCAGCCCTCAGCCCCTGCCCCTCCTGAACCCCATTGCCAATCCAACAAAAACATCCCACCAAGCCAGCTTTCTTGGAAATATCATCACATAAATCATTCATGCAAAACATGATTTCCAGTTTTTCCTCAGACAATCCCACTTTCTACAACTGACCACAACAAGCGTTCAGTTTACCCAGAACACCGCTTCTTCTTCTTCTGGCTGTTTGCGTGTTCATATTCGACGAAC